CGCCTGAAATGCCTCGAACAATCTGTTTCCAGTGTTCTTGGAATTTTCCACACGCTTTTATTCCCTCCTCGGAAATTCTGGAGCGTGAAGAGATGACATTTTCTGTAATCTGTTTCGGTTTATCCTTTTACCAATTCTGCTATTTTTCTACCTTATTTTGATCCTGCTATATTTTTGGTGGATGTTTCATTTTGGTATTTTATTTTATTGTTCTTCTGTTTTATTCTAATGTTTTATGTTTGTATTATTTTACTGTTCTTCTGTACTGTACTAGTACACTGTACTATTATTTATTTTACTATACTGTTCTACTATTCCATTATTTCATTTTACCTATTTAAGACGATGACTTCAAATTTTGTTATATCGTATGATAATCTCCTGTTCCAAAATTCCTCTTTGAATACATCCTCTTTGATAATCTATGCGATTTTGCAGAAAACCTCCTGCTCCATAAATACCCGTCCAGTAACTTCCATCTCGATAACTGCACATTTCACAATTTTATCTTGAAATATTGATTTTTTCACAACTAACATTTCATTAATGTCAGTAGTCTTTAGTATTAATGAAATTAATATATTATTATTTAAATTAAATTCCATCAATGAATTAAACTAGTTGAAACGAACGCAACGTGACGAGAATTTTGTTTGTTTTACAAAAGAATAATTAAAACCATCGGAACGAACACGATTCATCGAATTCCCGGTATTTATTCACCGTCTAGTCTTCAACTTACCAAGTACCTACTCCGCCGGTTTCCAATATCCAATTCTCTCGAGGAATATCCGCGCGAGTACTCAATGAGCGGCAGAAATGCTATTCATCAAGCATCATTAAGCAACGACCGGTGTTGTTGGTGATCGAACATCGTAGATTGATAATTCTCGATGTTCACCATCGATTTCTCGCGGATAGGGTGCAAGACCCTAGAACGGGGGTTGCGAACAAATCTCCGTTCAGCAACAGGTTAAAATACGTTTTTCCAATGTCTGAATACAGAGCTACGCAATTTATTCGCTGCTGATGCCACGTTTTCTTCTTTCTTGCTTCTTTAATGTCTGGGGATTATCGGGAGACTGTTGAGGGATCTTGAAAACTGTTCAGGGATCTTGAAGACTGTTGAGGGACCTTGAAGACTGCTTATGGTTTGACGTGTGAAGTGAAAATTGATTTGTTTGGTCAGACATGTGTGTTGTTAAAAATAAATGGGGATGCAATAAATGAGAACATAAGTTTAAGGAATTTTTTAGATTCATGTTTTAACTTATTTGTGTACTTTGATGGAGTCTTGGTCACTCAAATATCTTCTGTATGCAAATGTATAATTATACAAATTATTTATCTAATTTGTATAATTGTACAAAATAGAACTGTTCACTGGTAGTCACTATGATAATCAATATGTTAATAGTCACCTATTTTTAATTATTAATAACTGATGTTTTTCAAATCATTTAAGAATTGCATGTCAGAAATCGTTGAATTATACAAGTAAGTCTAACAGAACTATATTAAATAATAAAATATATTTCACAAAATTTTTTCTTTTTAAGCAATTACAATAAAGTACAATTTTTTAGAAGATACATATTAAGCCACCCTACGAACCAACAAAAATAAATTACAAAACCAAGGAGCTGTTTGATAAAATCAGTAGACTGAGAAACCAATAGAAATCGATTTAATTTTAACAATTCTTCCACAAATTCCATGCGGTTCGTTATGTAGGGTGTATTTGTCCAGCAACGGAAGGTCTTCATTGAAAGTCAGAGCAGGCAGCGTGGAAAATAAAGCCGACACAAAACTCGGGACTTTCGAACACGCTTTTTACCGTTCCCGGAGCTGAGCTTCCGTCGTCACGAACTCGACGCGGATTCCGCGATGAATTTTCACTTCCGGATCGTGGAGAACGGTTCAAAGGTCCCGCATCTGCTCTTCGTCTTCGCTCTGTTCTCTGTCGTTCCAGAGAGAAGACTCGTCGCACGGCCACTTGTTGCTATCCTTCGATCCGTCCACACGACATTCAACCCTTCTTTCTCTTTCATCCTCCTCGTTTGTCCTCTGGCTACCCTTCTCCAGTTTTTCCTTTTGTTCCTTTTCCACGACTCTCTCTCCGCGTTCTTATCGGATTCTTACGTTGAGAACGGTCTTCATCGATTCTTCCGGTGATATTTCTTATGGAATTGCTGGGAATTTTAGACTGATGTAATTAGCATTTCAGAATGTGTAATTATAATATTAGATATTGGGTTATTGAGTTATTGATTATTAAATACTTGAGATTGAACTGAAAAGTTTGAATAGAAGGTGAAGTTCAATTTACAATCACTTGTTAATTTTTATTGATACAGGATGATTGTCAAGATTATTATTACACTCATGCTTTATTATACTTTTTTTTACTTATTAGTGCAATCATTCTTTATTTTGAAGTAAGTTTGAATACACGCACAATGAAAATGCTAAAATCTAGAAATGGTACGAAGCTTATTAACTAATATAATACATTAACCTATAAAAGGAAAATGACATAATAAATTAAAGTTTAATACAATAAAGAGAATATCATATAATAAATCAAAAATATACTGAAGAGAATATCATGCAATAATAAGGACAATATACCAAAGAGCACATGACACAATAAATCAAAGGCTAATATAATAAAAAAAAACAAAGCAAGGTCTGCTACAAAATACACCTCATACTCCCGTGAATATAAACGACATTTTCATAAACAAATTTCCTTATTTTAATTATATTTCATAATAACAATATTTCATTATTATTAAAACAGTTTCAAAAAGCCATTAATAATAAGTTAAATATTAAAAAGTAAGGTAAAGATGTTGCAGTAAAATCCCGTTGACAAAATTAATTTAACCCAACACTAACAAGAGGAAAATAGACAAACTCGAAGATGATACTGCGAGTTCCAGTTTGCATTTTCGACGACGATTAATCTTTCGATCTGTTCGCTAAACCGATCCGATCGTTTCAGTTCGTTCTCCGCGTAGCCATGCGCAACGGATTCCTTCCGGCGGACGAAACTCATTCACGATGACTTGGCGGTATATTTTCGGGCCACCATGGGAACCACAATTAGGGTTCACGGGCCAGCAATGACGGAATAGCCGGAATGCTTTGTCCGCCATTCGGTATTCGGATCGTTCGCATGGATAAGAAATCCGTTCGTTTGTCAAAGGCATCTTGAACGAAGAAACTCTTTAAAATGTGACGACACTTGTGAACTAATCACGCGTTTTTAATTGTTTCTTCACGAAAAAAGGTGTCTCTGAAATCGAACGCTAATTGCATTTTTACGAAAGAAAAATCCTAAATTGTGTTATGAAATATTCTGTTATAACCATCATGACTATTATTACCATTACAATCATTAAAAACATCATAGTACTGTAATAATTATTAAAAACATCATAGTACTGTAATTATTATAGCTGATTTTACTATAATTATAGTTTGGTCACGTCTATACTAAAAATTATTAAAAAAGACCACGAAAACTGTTAGCACCATTGTACCAAGCTTTACTGCACCTCAGACTCAATTTTCGAAGCTTGTATCAAGTCCCAGAAGAAAAGTAGTGAAATTTAGCGACTTCGCTACATCCGCGGCCTCAGGTATGATTAAGGGATGAAAGTTGAGCGGGTGTACGCAGGGTAGTCGGGTAATTAAGTAATTAACGATCTCGATGTGCCAGGTGGTGTCTTTAACTGTGGAGCAGGGACTAGTTTTACGCTCGGTAGGCGGCGATTTCGAATGTAAACGAGAGCAACGCTAATTGGAAGCTTCGTAACACGTGGCAAGCTACATCCACGAGAGTGTCATTACGGAATTGCTGAAGTCGCGAGCTAGTTCCCCTGATAGTCCGCCACTTTGAAGTCCTGCAGGATTCCCGTGCCCATTACTGCTGTTTGCCCGGTAAAATTAACGGAAACTTATTCTCGTTCTTCCGTGTTCCTTGCTTACCCCCCTTTCTTATTTTCATCCCCCTGCTGGTTACGTTTTCCCTTGAACCGATTCTCTCCTCTCTCAACTTTCCCGCTTTTGTGCCTTCGTTCCCGTTCGCTGAACGAATCTCGTCCGCTTCGTTTGTTCAATCGATATAACAAAGTGCCAATTAAGTGGCCGGTCAAACTTTTCGACGATAATGAGGGAGAAAATTAGAGAGGACGAGGAGAGAGGCTGTAATAAGCAGTCCAAGGGGATACTTTTTGATGCAATTAGGACCGTGACGGGTTTAACGGGCCACGACTGTTCAACGTTGACCGGCGGGATCCTTCGAGGAATTAATCGCGGCAGAAATTTACCAAGGGGAGAAAAACTTTTTTAACGGCGGAAATTCGAGATGTTCGCGATCCAGAGACCGCTCTTCGCGTTTTTGCTTTTATTCTTAAAATATATACAATCGCATGCAGGAGAAAATTTGTAATAGCTTCTTTCGAATATTGCTTCAATATCAGTATTTTAAACTCCTCTCGTAGACGTTTTAATGATATACATTCGCATTGCAGTTATGGTGATTATGGGAGTAGTAGTAACTATGATAGTTGTGATAGTTATGATAGCTATTGTAGTTATGATATTTAGATACTTATGATGATTATGATGGTTATGGTGGTTATGGTGGTTATGATGGTTATAATGGCTGCGATAGTTATTGTAGTTATGCCAGTTATGATAGTTATGATAGCTAGATAATTATCATGGTTATAGTGATTATGATGGTTATAATGGTAATGATGATTATGATGGCCATTGCAGTTATGATAGTTATGATAGCTAGATAATTATCGTGGTTATGGTGATTATGATGGTTATAGTGGCTGCGATAGTTATGATGGCCATTGCAGTTATGATAGTTATGATAGCTAGATAATTATCGTGGTTATGGTGATTATGATGGTTATAGTGGCTGCGATAGTTATTGTAGCTATGCCAGTTATGATAGTTATGATAGCTAGATAATTATCATGGTTGTGGTGATTATGATGGTTATAATGGTAATGATGATTATGATGGCCATTGCAGTTATGATAGTTATGATAGCTAGATAATTATCATGGTTATGGTGATTATGGTGGTTATGATGATTATGATGGACATTGCAGTTATGATGGTTATGGCAGTCATGCTAGTTATGACAGTTATTATACCTATGATAATCATGCTGGTTATAATAGTTACGATAGTTATTATAGTTATGATAGTTATGATAGTTATGAATGTCATTATAACTATGATAATCATGATAGTTATAATAGTTGTGATGGCTATGATAGTTATGGCAGTCATGCTAGTTATGAATGTCATTATAACTATGATAATCATGATAGTTATAATAGTTGTGATGGCTATGATAGTTATGACAGTCATGCTAGTTATGAATGTTATTATAACTGTGATAATCATGATGGTTATAATAGTTCGGATGGTTATGATAGTCATGACAATCATGCTAATTATGAATGTTATTATAGCTATGATAATCATGATAGTTGTGATGGTTATGATAGTTATGATAGTTATGATAGTCATGACAGTCATGCTAGTTATAACAGTTATGATAGCTATGATAGTCACGATGTTTATGATAGTTATGATAGTCGTGCCAGTTATGACAGTTATGATAACCATGATGCTTCTGATGATTATGATAGTTATGTTCGTTATGGTAATTGTGAAAATTGTGATAGTTATGATAGCTATGACAGTAATGGTGGTTATGATAATCTCATGTGAAATATCTACAATCATTCTCGACTATAAATTTGATCAATAAAATGAATTGAATACGAAAAAAATATCTTCACAACCGCGCTAAAGTTATGATTTTTAATTGAACGCTTTTGATGAACTTATTCAATTACTTCGGTGGAATTTTTATTTCATCGATATCCTTCCTGCCGGCATTTTCGTTATGGGAACATTTTTATAAGCGTATTTATAGATCGGGGGAAATATTCAATTATCTCCGAGCATCCGTTTGTTTTAATAAAACCATCGATACGTGCGCTAATAAATTGAACCCCCGTCGATTCCCGCACTAATGGTACATTTCGAAATGAAACTTTCCAACGATCCTCTTTATAGAAAATTCATATTTACCCTCGGAAACTTTTATTTTATTTTTTTTTTTCGCGGAACCGTGAAAATTAAACCCTTCCCTCGTAAAGGCACAATATTAAAGTTCGGTTATAAAAGAATCTTCTGCCACTTATTAAGATCCTCGCTGGCCTACTTTCGACAGAACGTTGCTTTCGCTGTTAATTCTTTAAGTTATTCTGCGCATTATTAATTTTTAGGTCTTTTGAAAAATTTGTGTCTGCGGATATTGTTTTTTGAAGCATTTCTTAGGTCTTTTAAATAAATCATGAAATTGTAGAGTTATTTTATGGTGTAATTAGAAGAGGTGGATTCTTGATAAAAATTAAGGGAATTTGTGTATATAATTATTTTAGGGTACAATATTATTTATTATAAATTAAAGGAGATCTATGGATATAAATATGAAATGTAAAGCACATGATTTGACATTAATTTGTTCATATATGAAATCATAGATGAGATTCATATCATATGTATTAACTTTTACACACTGAGCTCTGCTCAACAACTTTGAACTTTCAACAACTTTAAGATCAATTTCCATCAATTGTGAGATTAATTTTCTGCATCACTCTAAATAGCATTAATCTATAATATTACACAAACCAATAATAATTGAGATATTCCAAATTCGAAAGACAGTTCAACAAAATTTATACCTAGAATTTTATTAATTTTTCTTCCCAATTAATTTTTTTACTCAAACACCAAGTCAAAAATCACTTGTCTGAAACACCTGTACAAAATGTGTCCATAAAAGAGTGAGTACAAAATGTATGCTAGCAAAATGTAGCTGAGCGCTGTAGAAAAAGCAAAATGTAAATACAGTCGTACCAATAAAGCAGGTTTTATCGACGGCGAATAAAGGGATGAAAATGTGGGGGTTTCGGCGATATGTCGTGGAAAGAAAACGCGTTGCAACGATGTAGAAAGGAGCAGATTTATGCGAATGTTTAATGAGAGCCTCGGTAAACGAGGTTCCGACGGAGGGGTTCCAATATCATGCATGAAGCAGAGCGTAGTATGCTCGAGGGGTAGCTCTGTTACTTCCTGTCGGCGTTGCACGCCGCGGCAGCTGCTTTTGTATATTCAATTTCGGATAATAACCAGTACCGTGAGTAATTTGCCGAGATACGCGGCCTTTACGATCCCGCTGGCGATCGTCTAAATGTTCAAAAATTTCTTTATCGCTAATAGATTTACTGCAAAGATATAGAGGATCGGTCAGTTACTGTCACGAAATCCGAAGGGTTTGCATTTTATTGACCATTTAATAATTTCTGCAGTTTTCGTGCCTTTTGTTAAAAGATCTGTCTTGTAATATGCGGTTCTTAATTCATTGATTAAATCAATATTATTTAAGACAAATAAACTAGACACATTTAATAAATTTATGAAACTGTATCAATCAATTGGTTGATCAAACTGAATTAATTAGATGTATATAGGTTAAATTGATTTAATTGATTTATTGAATTAAATCATTTTGATTAAATCATTTAATTAAATGAACATCAGAGTTTAATTTAATTGATTGATTAAGTCAAAACATGTCTCTTAAGATAAATTAATTAATTCATTTTGATTAATTGATTAAAGCAAATCACTTAGTCACAGTGTAAGTCAATGAGGCTAATTTAATTAATGAAATCACTAATCAATTCAAGTTAGATCGATTAAATTGATTTAATACATTCATCAAACGAAATCAATAAATTAATTGCACACCAATTCAATTTTTTAAATTGATTGATCTTAACAAGACAGTCAATTAAAAAAGTACCAATAAAATCATTTTAATGTATCAATCAATCAATGCAATTTAATTAATTGATTAAATCAAATCAATTATTTAGAGTGTAAGTCAATGAGGTTAATTTAAATAATGAAATCACTAATCAATTCAAGCTAAATCGATTAAATTGATTTAATACATTGATCAAACGAAATCAATAAATTAATTGCAGATCAATTAAATTTGTTTAATCGATTGATCTTGCCAAGTCAATCAATTAAAAAAGTACCAATAAAATCAATTACTTAATGCAATTTAATAAATTGATTAACACGTGGTTACGTCAATGAATATAAATGAAATAATTGTTCAGACCACATCAATTAAGCGTCAAACAATTAATTCAATTTACCTGGTTGGTTAAATCGGACCAATTAACTGAAGGAGCATTTATTCTAATAAATCTATGAAATCAATTAATCGAAAATGAACTGGGTAATTTAATTAACCGTCGAAACGAACGGTTGAAAATTCAGCGATGAAATCTGATATTCCGGGAACTATAACATTAGCCGAATTCGAGGGAATTTCACGTCATAATTTGTGGACCGATTTAGAGCATACATAATGCGGAAGAATGGCAACAGCCGGTCATCAGATTCCGTCGATTTCGAGGGAAAGCAAGAAATTGAAGCTTTACTACTTTATTCACCGAGGGATCTATCATTCGGGTGAATAGTAGCCGCAGTCTGGTTCAAGTAATTTCACCGCGATCGTGGTAGATCATCCCCTTCGATACCGGGATTTGCTCGCACGTGAAACGAAGAAATAATTTCCTACAGGGCGCAGAACCACCACTCGTGCACGCGACTCCGGATATCGCGTGCGACTGCCATTATTTTATTATTGGCCTTCCTTATCCGTCGATCTTTTTACGTACCGTGGAAACCGGATATGACCGTTGTACCGCACGCCGTCGATTAAATCGCGACGGTCAAACTGCTTTCGGGGTTGTTCCGAGCTAGATAGCACCGCTATTTCGTATCTCTACGTGATTTTTGCTGGAACGAGAACAGCAAGCAGAATTTTCAAAGGGTAATTGGAGATTTAAATTAATAATTTTGGAAGATGGCGGAGATGTTTATTTTGTTTGGGTTCTTTGAGAGGGTGATTTTTCAGATTCTTTCAGTTCTTGAGTTATGGAATTTTCAGATATTTGTACTTTTTAATTTTTGTATTGTTCAAATTTTAGTATGTTTAAATTATTTTCGACTCACGGGTCCTCAAATTTTGATATTATTAAATATCTAAACTCCCTAATTTTGTAATAATACAACAGACTCTTTATCGTTGACCGATTCAATCGCAGCGTCTTTCTTCTCCTTTCGTCATTCCCTGTTCAAATCCTACCGTCAATTAAACCAGTAAACGTAGTCGAAATTATACCGTGTTTGGTCTCATTTTAATCGGAAAAATGTCAAGAATTAATTGGTAAAAGTTTGACAACGAAAAAGTCAAAAATAAAAAAGTTTTATATTTGCATTGGTAGAGTCTCACGGATATACTGGAACCGCGGATCAAGTTACACTTCTCGGCGCGCGAGCTTCACGGTGTCGCGAGGGGGCTTCCCCCCACTGATCATTTTTTCGCGCGTATCGCGAGGACCGCAGATCGCGAACTGGGCATCGCAACCGCCAGGTGGCCAGCCACGAATTGTTTTTCTCACAATTATAATAGTCCCCAGCGACTATAATAAAGGACCGCGAGAAAGAAGCGACAGCATGTTTCCGATTCACGTATATGGTCTTTACCTATACGCTGAAAGCGGAAGCATGCTCACATTTTTATGTTAGGGGATAGCAAGTTGGTTTCATACCCGCGCCCCTGAGTATCCCATTTTGGGAACCTGTAGCAAGTTGGTTTCATACCCGCGCCCCTAAGTGTCCCATTTTGGGAATCTGTATGGATTTTTGAGAAGCAGTTCGTTCGCTGCTGACCACCGATGACACACACTATGCCCTCCGCCCTGATAGGTGCTCACCATGGTGACATTCCGATGGAAGCTTCCGTCCCAGACCCAATAGGTGCCCCAAACCCCTGAATGCCCCACATACTACACTGAATGTCCCAAAACCCTTGGAGTGCCCTGACCCCTGAACACACCCCATACCCCAAAAATGCAACACAGCACTAGGTATCCAAGACCTAGTGGAGTGCCCCATACCCCCAAAACACCACACACTAATTTTGCAAAATCCAGTGGAGTTTCCCAGGACTCCTGAACGTCCCACATCCCTAAATGCCCCACACTACCCCTAAATGCCTCACACTACAAATTCATAAATATTATTACATGTATTAAATACTATTGTACATGTATGCTATTAATTGCAGATGTTTTGTATTCTGTGAATATAGAAATGTTTAAAGTTATTTAAAAACACTTTGAATCTATATTAATGTTATTATAAAAGAAAAAAAGAAATGAAAAACGTAACGTGGAAAAAAATCTCAAGTCTCAAATCTTTAATTTCCTAAATCCCAAATTCTTCGAATCCCAAATTTGCTAGGTTCCAAATTCCCCAAATTCCAAATTTTCCAGATTCCAAATTCCCAAGCACTCAAATTTCCAAGTCTCCAAATTCCCAAGCTCCCAAATTCTCCAGATTCCAAATTCCCCAAATTCCAAATTCTCCAGATTCGAAATTCCCCAAATTCCCAAGCACTTAAATTCCCAAGTCCCCAAATTCCCAAGCACTCAAATTTCCAAATCTCCAAATTCCCAAGCCCCCAAATTCTCAAACTCCTAAATTCCCAAGCCTCCAAATTCCAAATTCTCCAGATTCCAAATTCCCCAAATTCCCAAGCACTCAAATTCCCCAGTCCTCAAATTCCCAAG